ATCCCAGGCTGCGAGACACCATGCTGCCCCGAGTGCCGGAAAATCTGCAAGCAAAAGAAGGGCCTCCGCAGTCTAGGGGAGAGGATGAAGCTCCTGCCACAGCGGCCACAGCCCCCTGCACTGCAGGTGAGGGACAAGATCTCTGCATTCAGAGATCAACCCAAGGTGGGGGATTAGCTTTGACCCTATTCTAAACTGTTAGGAAGAGACACAGAGTTCCAGGTTGGACACTTTCCCAACTTGGTTGGACCCTTGCTCAGGGGACCCTTCTCTGTCCTTCCAGGAGACCTGTGCTGTGAGGGCTGAGCGGCTGCTGCTGGTTCGGATCAATGCCTCTGGAGGCCTCACCCCCCCGCGGGGTGGGAGCCACAACCCCCTGCCTGAAGCATCCACTGGCCAGGGACACACCTGTCTGTTTGCTTGCTGTCCTGGGAGAGCAGCACTCAGGAAAGTCCTTCCTCTTGGACCACTTGCTCAGAGGCTTACCAAGCCTGGTGAGGGCAGGGCTGGCAGGAGGATGCAGGGAGGCAAAGTGGAGCCCCAGGTTGACTCTGGGAGGGAAGCATCTCTGGGGATACACAGTGGACCACCAGACACCTTCTTCTCTACTTTCAGGAATCTGGTGACAGTGGCAGGCCCAGAACAGAGGGGTTCCTTCCTGGGATCAGGTGGGGTGCCAATGGCCTTACTAGGGGCATCTGGATGTGGAGTCACCCCTTTCTGCTGGGAAAAGAAGGGAAGAAGGTGAGGAGAAAAGCCGATGGGAGTTAGCGTGGACCAAGGAGGAAAACAAACAGGAGGATACAGGGTGGAGGAATGGAGGGGAGAGAGAGGGAAGACAGGAATGAGAAGGACATCTCTGAGGTAAGGACAAGGGAAGGGGTTGGGCAGAACAAGACAGGTCTAACCCTTCGCTTTGTGTCCTCAATAGGTGGCTGTGTTCTTAGTGGACACAGGAGATGTCATGAGCCCAGAACTGAGCAGGGAAACAAGGGTCAAGCTCTGTGCTCTCACCATGATGCTCAGCTCCTACCAGGTGAGATGAGAGAGGTGCTTGGGTGGGGCAGCCACTCTGCACACCATTCCCTAGGGTGCCACACACTCCTGCACACCACTCCCCAGCTCAGCTTCCTCAGAGCTGAGAACTTGGCAGATTTAAGTGTCTGGGGTTCATGCAGGTTCTGGAAGGTGCTTCTAGAAGGAGGAAGATGTCCTAGGGAAGGTGGGAAGGTAGGTTGTTCTAAAGGTGGAACGGTAGGCCTCAGGGACAGCTGGAGGCCCACAGGACCACAAAGCTCTCCAGGTCTTCTGAAGATGGCTCGCACCTAGGCTGAAAGGCTCATGCTGGGCTGGGCTTGTGCTCTGAGATAAAGGCCACTCAGGAGCCCCTCACAGAACCCTTCCTACTTCTGCAAATCTTGCATCTTCCTGTTTTTCTCTGTTCTAGATCCTGAACACCTCCCAAGAGCTGAAGGATACAGACCTGGGCTACCTAGAGGTGAGGCAATCTCCGTATTGAAGCCATCATCTCCACATACCCTTACCACAAGGTCAGGAGGGCTGGACCAAAGGGAACTCATGCCTTCCCATTCAGTCTTAGGATTTTACGACACCTGAACTGGCTTAGTGGGCTTCAGGACAGACAGTTGAGCACAAGGTGCTTGG